ATACTCATCAAAATCCATTTTAGTCGTGGTGACAGCACATTATCAAGAATTTACATTTAAGCAATTATTATATTTACAGGACTGATAAATTATTCTTTTTTTATTAGTGCGGTAGCTCACGCGAAAGATGATAAATTATCACTGACATGATAAATTATCATATCTACATATTTATGATACATTGTATAGCAGGAAAATAATGTTTGACACTGTGACATACTGCTTCTTTTCAAAGAACGAAATAGTAATATTTAACACATTTATTTAAATTTACATGACATTGATTGCGAAAGTATAAATTTTCATTGGAATGAAATAAAAATTAGGAAATTTTGCCTTATAAAAGTTTAGGAATTTTTATTTGATCACAAGCCAATATTTCGATCAGATCATATTGGTGGTTTGAATTTGATTTGTCACTCTAGGTCATTTGCACATTTTCCATGATTATGAGAAATTAGACCAGAACGCCTAAGATTTAACGTGGATTCTAAGCCAATAATAAACTTCCACGCCATTTCCATACATGATTCGTATTTGAAGCCTGTGGCCAAAGCCACTTGGCGGTAAGGCGTCTGCCTATTGGCAGATTCCGAAACATAATATGATTTCTTTTAATGGGGTAGGGTTACTAGCCCTATTCTCTATAGTTGTATTAGACATGGACCTACGGTTTTAAATAGGATGGTGAACCACTACAAACATCCACGGTTCCAACCGGGACTCGAACCCTGTTGCACAGAGCGTCAGAGAGTTAGTCACTCGGCCATCAGGCTCTCATATTGTAATTAGTATCTTAAAATTATTCTGGAATTAAAAAACAATATTATTGTTGGATATATGTAAATACACTTCCTCAAATTGTCAATAATCAAATCAAATCAAAATTCAATTTAAATTATTTATTCATAACTATGTCAAAAGGTCATGCAAGAGAAAAGTCTAATTTATTGATTTATTATAACGTAAATTTATTTGTAACTAAGAAACTTAAAATTCTTTTTATATATAAATTATACTGATACGAAACGACCTTACATTTCAAGGTCGATAGGTTTAAAAAAGAAAAAATATTTTTAAAGAAAATTTTATTTTGGAAAATTTTAAAAAGAAAAATTTTTTTAAAAGATTAAAATATTATAATTTTGTATTATTATTAATTATTATTAGGTAGTATTTATTATTTATTATTATGTTTATGTCCAAACGAATTTAAAATTTATTTTTTTAGTATATTAGACATGCCAATTGAATAAAATTGTGCGAAAAAATTGCTTAATATAGGTTATAATCAATAATTCTAAAGCTTTTTAGATTAATGGTACGGATTTTCCAATCATAAAAATTAAAAATAAAAAAGAAATGAAAGCCCAGGTATAAATTGCACTAATAATAGCATTTGCTTTGTAGCAATATAAATAGGCTGTCATACCATATTGATTAGAGAGCGGTTTTAATTAATCAAATTCACAACTTATTTTAAAACCGCTTTTGGCTCCCAAACATTAATCCATGAATCTAAAAAATATTTACAATTTTTTTTTTTTACTATATTAACCACCTGAATGCTAATCACTTGGGAAAAAAAAATTGAGGAAATTGACTCCTATTTATTTTCTTATGACCATCCTATTATTTTTATTTGTGTGAGGTTGAGTTGAGATACTTAAGGCACAAGTTTGAGAAATAATAACTTCATTTACACATGCAGAAACAGCACACACATACAATTAAAGACAAACAATATTTAAAACATTTAAAGACTGATAGTTATACAATAGTGGAAAGCTAAGTCCACTTCTAAATCGAAAACCCGCCACTCGAATACGCGCGGGGTGCGTAAAATACTTCCTCTCCCTGTGAGAGTCTATAGGCCAACTGAGTATTTCTCCTGAATGTCACAGAAGGCGCTCTTGCCAGTGGGTAGGATGAAGCCTGGTTACAATTTATTAAAACAATTGATGAAATGTATTAATTATTAATATTACAAATTCATCCTCATTGCTAAATACGCATTAATTTTTTAGGAGGATTCAAAATTTTAAAATTTTGACTCCTCTAAAAACAATGCATCATATAAATTAGCCATTAACTTTTTAATTTGTAACAATCGAAGCGATCTAGTTGATAGTGTGTGGATTTCTAGTTAGGAAACAGGTTCGAAAACCCTATTCATAAACCTAAATGAACATTCCATGTATTATGAGGACACAACAAAACCATAGCGGAAGATCCTTCCATTGGGTTTAGAGGGGAAAAAAGGGGTGGAGCTTGAATCAGATAAAGTGTATGTAGACTTCTCTACCAGTCTAGCAAAAGTTTAATGGCCGGAGTGTGGTTGTCTAGGGGTGTATTTCCAAACACATTAACGAAACGTTGGTTTTCTCTCGACAACAGAGATTTTAATGAAGCTCTAATGTATTTACAGCGATATTTACATTAATTATTAATACATGACAATAAAATTCTCTCGCTGCTTGATGCAGCCCGTTCCAGTTTCGCCGTCTGACCAGAGTTCTTCTCGCGCCCATCTACCGGGCTTCTTTCGCTCTCTCAGGGCCAGAGTTCAAAGTCGAATCCTGTCATTACATGGCAAAAAGGTTTGCGTCAGACACATAGTCCGTGATGTCTACATCTGGTGATTAACACATACAAGCAAATCCTACATGTATTATTTATTAATATTACGAATTCATCCTCATTGCTAAATAAGCATTAATTTTTATAATAATTCAGAATCTTTACTTTTAATGGTACTTACGTATTAACGGCACCTTGGCGACGGATTGCGCTAATAAAAACATGCGCCAATCGCAGCTAGATTTGGCGGTTTTAAGTGGCACCAGTCTATTCTATTGGTTTGGTAACCTTAGTAGCTGTTAGATTGGCGACGGCTTAAAACCGCCAAGTCTGTCGCCAAGGTACCGTTAATACGTAAGTACCTTTTTTAATTATCACAATGTGTGGGGTTTCTAATTAGAGAAACGGGTTCGAAATCTATTCATGAAGCCTAACTGAGAACTCCATTGTCTAAACAGGGGCACAACAAAACCATAGCCCCGGGAAGTCCTTCCATTAAGGTTAAGAGGATGAAGGGTGGTGGGTAGTGTGAAGTCTCAAATGCCTTTCAGAAATGATGTTCGCTCATAATGGAGAGGTGGTAGAATGCGATTACAGATTATGTGTACCCTGAGTAGCAGTTTTATCTGCTACATCTATGTCTTTAAGTTGCGAATTCTTCGATCCGAGATGATTCTAATTCTTGCAATAGTGGATCGAAATAACTTGGCCGGATAGCTCACTTTTCAGTCAGAACAAAAGGTTTTTATTTTTATTGAGCGAAAAAAATTTTTTTTTCTGTCTTACTTTTATTTATTCAACGAGAGTATTGCTCAAAGTGATATTCTTTTCAGAATATCTTAGAAAAGACAGGCTACGATTTAACAATAAATATCAAGAAAATTAAGATTTTTTTTTTTTTTTTTTTTTTTATTATTCTTTTAAAATGTTCTTTTCAAGATTGGCGAATTCTTTTTATTTGAGATTTATTTAACTTTACAATTCTAGTGCACACTAGACATGTTTTGTATGCTTTTACGATTCTATTATATATTGCGTTGTGCAATGATTTTAAAAACTTTTAATTGTGTATCCTATTTGTTGCATTTCTTTTCTGTTGTTGAGAGAAGTCTGCTTAAAGCTCTGTTCTATCACGAAGTTAATTTGGAAAACTATAAATTAACTTAGGAACAATAAAAGAGATTTTTTCATTCATTTCAGAATTATTCGTTCGTAGATTTTATGATTTGCGATCGATCTAATTTGATGGAACTAATTCTGTAATATTCATTGTGTTTAATTTTTGTAGATTCCAAATCACTTTTGTGGTTATATTTAAATCCCAACGGGGTTATATTTTTATGTAAATTACCCCATTTGCTGACATTCTTCACCCAGAAGTATTAGGAAAACCTGTTTGAAACAATTCCAACGAAGCACAGGTCAAAAATGCTCACCATTCATAAAAGGAACTAAGTTAATAACTATAGCAAAGAAGATATATTTTAAGAATTTCTTTCTGTATATATTTTGAAAGTTACAGATTTATTCACTAAAAGGAAATATTGAACCTTTTTAGAATGCTTAATAGTAACATATACCCAAAGATTTACTCTATCTAAATATGTGGTATGGTAAAATTTCTTAGATACCTTAAATAACAAAATGAATTTAAAAAGTATTGCAAAATTTCAAAATACCGAGTATGTTTGAATAGATGTATACCATCAAATGGAATATTTTCAATAAGAGGGTGCTACCTTTTAGAAGTTTTCAACATGTCCTTTGTGGCATAAATGTTTCTCATTTTTCAAAATTCTTTGTAGAAATGGTTTGGAGTAGTTTTTTTAAAAAATTTGGGAGATAAATTAGAAGTAAAGTTGTGTTAAAGAAATCCATATGTTCACGTGGAGTGCCTGTATGATCTTAAAAATTTGATTTTATAAGTTCTACTAACTTTAATTATTTGCCTAAAATTTATTGTTGTTATTTTTTGTGTTGCTGTCGTATCCCCTTATAGAAGGAGGGAAGAAGGGGGCAACTGCAGTTTTGATGGAGCACCTGTAGGTAGAAGTCTGACTTCTGCTCCATGTCGCTGAAGAAGGTGGGCACTACCTCCCAGGGGGACTTTTAGAGAGAACTACCCCGCATTTGCGTATCGTATGAAAGAAAACCTGGAAAACTCATACCAGGTAGTCCGACGAACGAGGCAAAGATACTGAACATCCCAAACGCCCTCGAGTCTCTTCGTTTTTAAACAGTTTTTACAACAAAGCCGCCAGTGGATTGATCCTTGGCGCTAATGCTCACCATCGGCGCACGTTGCCACTGAGCCACGAATCAGACTTATTTGCTTAAATTTTTGTTGTTGCATTGTGTTGTTATTGTATCCATCATGGAAGGAGGGAAGAGGGATATGGGATATTAAAATTTATTAAGCCAACGGCCATACCATGCTGAATATACCGGTTCTCGTTAGATCACCGAGTCAAGCATCATTGGGCGCGCGGTCAGTACTTGGGTGGGTGACCACCTGGGAACACGGCATGCTGTTGGCATTCACAAATTTGGGACCTGAATGGCCGACTATGCTGAGATTATCTAGGCTGACAAACTATTTATCCTGAATGCCAAGGGGGCAGAGTTGCTCTTGACAGTGTGTAGGGAGGAAGTATAATTACAATTGTTAATAGGATTAGTTTTTAAGAATAATACTTTAAAGTAATAATACTTTGGGCCTGAATGGCCAGTGGCTAGCGCTCTGGCGCTTGGTGCCACAGGTTTCGGGTTCGAATCCCGGCGGTACTATGGATGTTTGTAGTGGTTCGGAATCCACTTTAAGCCGTAGGTACCGGTCTCATATGACAGTAAGAGCGACATGGAGCCAAAGTCAGACTTCTACCTACGGGTGCTCCATCACAACAGAAAGCTGCTTCCTTCCCCCTTCAATCATGGTATGTATGGGCTCGTGGGCTTGGCCAAGGATAAGGAGCAACAACATCAAATTTATTAATTATATATATTTTCAGCAGTTCAAGGAGTTTAAAAAATTAGAAAAAGCAATAAATATTATTGAGAATAGTCCGCTTATACTCATAGAGTGATAATGATAAGCGACAAACGAAAAGATTTCATGCTTTAAATCCAGATATATAAATTCTTTGATTTTATTATTTCAAAAAATATGACGAGATTGCCTGAAATAACTTTGTCTTGATATATTAATTGTTATTACATATAACACAATATAATCAATACTGTTATTGGAACAATTTCTTTGGTTTTTTAATGTGAAACATTAACAGTACATAGTTTTCTTACATATATTAATGTTTCCCGATGAAATGATTTAAATATAACCCGTTTGGGTCAAGGTTAGAATAGCCCCAATCATTAAGCTAAAATTTGTCAGAATGTAAAATCAAATTTATCAGTTGCGAAAAAAAAAAAAAAAATGTTGTAGCATAAGGACTTTTGATTTCCTTTCGGACATAATTATAATAGATCATTAAGCAAGTCTAGACGTTATAAAAACTGAAATAAGAAATAAAAAAAGATTAAAATTAGAAATGTAATTTGATATTTAGATATATGGAAATAATGAAATCAATGAAGTTTTTATATGTTCTTTCTCCATGAAAGATAATACATATACTATTCGTGAGTAATCAGTTTCACATCTTATTTATTGTTAATGAATGATGAACATGAATCGTTTCATGATTCCCAAATGTTTTTGACCTATATATATAAATATATAATATCCAAAAATAAAAAAACAGAATTTAAAAATGTTTTATCTTTTTCTCTTGGGAGAGATAACTTTTTCATTATACATTTTTAACAAAATTTTAGCTTAATGATTATCTTTTACATTATCATCATTTTATGCACTGTGTGAGACCTTTTACTTTCGAAAAGGGCCGTTGAGGGTTGTTTCAGCTGAAAAAGCTGAACAATGTGACAGCCCTGTTGATAGTATGACATTACAATAGGGGCTTAATGTAGTAAATCTGATATATACTTAAAGTGTATCTTTAATGTATATATCTATGTATATAATGAATATATGTATGTATATAATGTATATATGTATATGGGTTTCGTATTTCTATCTAGTATTGTAATATATGCCAATTGTTTTTGTTTTCCACTTCAATTACTATCTTGTTTTCTTTATTACTATTTAATATCAACAAATTTCTCTAATTCCTCCCTCAAAAGTCTTACGGCAACGTTAATATAGAGCCTTACACTCTGAATGAAGCTCGAAAAAGGCCATTAAACCACGCCGGAGTTACTATTTCCACTGAAAGAATGTGATAAAGTGGAACTGCCATTAGATCTCAATGCACTTACGTCATTAGCGATTGCAGAACCCTCGTGCCAAGACGGGCGATTAGCGCACTGCCATCGATTATCCCCATTGATCAACAAAGGTACGACTTCCAAAACAAAAGGGCAGGTCGCTAAAAATAGCCGCAGTGCCCACAGTGCAGAAGTCGCCGGGGATTATGCTCAGTTAAGTGCCTAATGGGTGTCGAATGGGCCTCGATGCCCGTAATGACAACTTTCTCAGAGTTTGCCACTTGGAGTGAACGCACGGCTGCCCTTTTGCTATTTTAGATCTGCGAGGTGAGGTGAGGTGAGATGAGGAGTGGTCTGAGGTGGTCAGTCTGTTGGAAGCGCATAAAACATTTATGTATTCCACTTTCCTGGTTGCATATTATCTAAGGATTATACGTTAAAAAAAGTCTTAAATGTAGTAGATGCACACTATCGCACTCATCTATGGATATTCTTTTTCCGGAAATTTCATAAAAAATCCATTTTATAAAGCCACCATATAATTTTTTTTTTTTTTTTTTTTGCAAATAAGAACTAAATTTATCACTCTAACTAATATTTGCGATTGCAATGATTTTTTTTTTTTTTTTTTGCAATAACAAAACTTTGTGCGACTAAAAACAATCGTCTAAATATAAACAAAACAGCTGGAAAGGAACTGGACTTTATAAAAATTAGGGATCACATGCAGAATATCACATAAAAACAAACATAATACAACATAGGGTCACATACAGAAATCCCCACAGGGAACAGATACAGAAATTATATATATAATGATGTATTATCTTCATTAACCAAATATTGTCACATTTTTGTGAAAATTAGTACCAATTTAACAAAAATAATGCTGCTGAATTGCGAGGCACTAACAGTTATGAAACAGTTAAAACAATCATGAACTTCAATTGCTAAAAAGTTTAAAAAAACTAGCTCAGGTATTAATTTAGGACTTAATAAAATTAACTTAATTACTAAAAATTTTTTAAAACAATTCAATTTTTTAGAACTTTTACGAAAATAAAATATTGCTAGGTTACTTTCAAATTAAACAAATAAAATGCTTAATTTATTATATGCTTAAATAAAACTACTTTATAATCTGCAATTATATATATATATTTCATTTCAGATGATTTTCAAATCTTATATTATAGTTAGATATTTTTATAATTTTTTTTTTTGAATATTAGTGCAGCATCCTGGTATAAGGGTTTCGCATTCCTATCAAATATGTCAACAATTTTTCATTTAATATTAATAGTTTTTTCTTAATTACCATATAATGTCAACAAATTTCTTTTTATTTATTCACCTCAAAAGTGCTACGGGAACTTTAATATGGTGCCCTCTAAATAAAACTTGAAAGGCCATTAAACCACGCCGAAATACTATTTCCACTGAAAGAATGTGATAAAGTGGAACTGCAATTAGATCTCAATATACGCTCAACACTTATGCCATTAGCGATTGCAGAACCCTGTCGTGCCAAGAAGCGGACAAGGGCGATTAGCGCACTGCCATCGATTATCGCCATTGATCAACACAGGTGTGACTTCCAAAACAAAAGGGCAGGCAGCTAAAAATAGCCCCGGTGCCCGAAAGTGCAGCAGGGATTATGGTCGGTTAAGTGCCCAATGGAGGAAACTAAGGTCTTTGTTGTACTGTTGGGAATTTTGTGCCACTCTTTGCAAGAGTAAACGTTTGAGGTCGTCTTTACTTGAAATTTTATGTTTCTTGATTTCTAGATCCAGCAGGTGCCATAAATTTCCAATTGGATTGATGTCAGGCGATTGAGGAGGGGTTTTTAATTGGCGAGGAGCATTATAGAGCAGCCATTCACGGGTGAGATTCGCTGTATGCTTGGGGTCATTGTCTTGTTGAAAAACGAATGATGTTCCCAAGCCAAGATTTTGGGCACTGATTTTTAAATTACGGCGCAAAATGTCAATGTATGTACGAGCTGTCATAATACTAACAATAAAATGCAGGTTGCCAATTCCATTAGCTGCCATACAGCCCCAAACTAAGACGTTGCCTCAACCATATTTTACAGTAGCAGTTAAATGTTGCTTTTTCCAATTCAGTATTTGGCCTCCTCCACACATATCGTCGTCCATCACTGCCGAAAATGTTAAACTTTTTGATTCGTCGGAAAAATAACTGTGTTCCAAAACTCTTCAGATAAATCAACGTGGGATTTTGCGAAATCTAACCTCTTTCTCCTATTTATTTCCGAGATGAATGGTTTCTTTCTAGCTGGCCTTCCATAATAACTTCTCTCGCGTAAAACATTCCGTACAGTCTGTACGCTGAAAGTCTATTGCGAAGTGAAAGCAACATCTCTAGCTGTCAGGGGTGCACTTATTTTAGGGTTTTTCTTAACCTTGTTAATAATGACACTTTATTCTCTTGTAGAAAATATTCCATTGCCGTATTAAAAAGCTTAAATTTACTGTTCCATGGTCGTATTTAAAAGCTTTTATAATATCATTAGAATAAAAAAAATATAATAAAATTAAATAAAAATAAAACCTTTAATATGAGTCCTAAACTATAAATGAGTTAATTGACAACTGATAAAAGAAATGTACTTTAAGGAAAAAATTTCCAAGTAAAAGTGTCTAAAGATTTCATATTGAATCACTTATACAATTTAGAATAAAATCAATTAATTTAATCCGCTTTTTTTTCATTGTGAAATATTTTTAAATTTGCATTTCTGTACAAAAGAACTACCATTTCAAGTTATAAAAAGCATTACATAAATATTAAACATCGAACCACATCAACTTAGAAGTTTAAAACTCTCGAAATAAAGTTAACTCTCTGAATGAAGCTTGAAAGGCCATTAAACCACTCCGGAGTTACTATTTCCACTGAAAGAATGTGATAAAATGGAACTGCAATTAGATCTCAATATACGCTCAACACTTATGCCATTAGCGATTGCAGATCACTCTCCGCTCCCAATAAATCTCGTGCCAAGCCGCGGACACGGGCGATTAGCGCACTGCCATCGATTATCCCCATTGATCAACAAAGGTACGACTTCCAAAACAAAAGGGCAGGCCGCTAAAAATAGCCCCGGTGCTCAAAGTGCAGCAGTCGCCGGGGTTTGTGTTCGGTTAAGTGCCTAATGGGAAGCGAATGGGCCCCGGTGCCCGTAATGACTCTTTCTCAGAAAAGTTTGCCACTTAGTTGTCG